AAATTATGACTAAAAATCATTGGTAGTTTGAAAATACGAGTGATAGTGAATGTGTAGGGAAATGTTTTGCAATGGTTGGTTTCCGTTTTCTCAAAGTTACATTGATAAGATTGATGAGCAAAAAGTGGAGAATGACTGAATAGTGTACTTTACTTAGAACTTCTGTGTCCAATCATAACTTCGGAGAGAAAAAATTTCTACACTTCTGTGTCCAATCATAACTTTGGGCAGAAAAAATTTCCTCTAATTGAACAAAACTAAAAAAATTTCTACAATCCAATTGCAGCCCAACTCTTTTTAACTGTACTTAAAAAAATTTCTACAATCCAATTGCAGCCCAACTCTTTTGAACTGTACTATATTAGATGACACCTTTATAATTTCCTTCGGGTTTTAAGCGAGCATGTATATAGGTTTCTTACATTACATTCTTTTTAGGTTGCTAATCCAAGGTCTCTGGTTGATCTTGGTGCTGCTGTTTCTTCTGCTTTGCTGATGAATGAATCTCAGTGGGTTGGAATAATTATTACACCGCTCAACTACTCCCTTAAAGGTGCTGTACTGCAAATAGACACTGGCCCTGGCTTGAGGATCGAGAAGAGTCATTACTTTGAAATTGAGAAGCACGAACTTCGGTTACATAATATAGCCAACTTAGATAACTCACCAAAGAATCTGTCTCCAGTGTCTACTGATGTCAGCAAATTGACTCTTGAAGATGGCAAGATCAAGTTGCCTGATTGGACTAGCAATATTACTTCAGTTCTCTGGATTCCACTAAGGGCGGTTAGTGATGGACTCGCTAAGGGGACACCTGCAGGTTAGTATAATATTTAACATTTCTGGTGGCATTTGCGAGTGATATTTTTCTGTTTAACGAAGGTGTGGCTATTATCGGTGGCTGTAGGTGCAGTTGTTCCTCAGAGGCAGAGTGTTGTGGATGGTATGAGGACAATTGCTCTGAAACTTGATTTTGGAATTTCTCATAATCAGACCTTCGAAAAGTATGGTTCTTTCTTTTGTCGTTATTTGAAACTCAATCATTTCAAGGAGTTCTGGGATGAAGTGTGAAATGACTGAACTTACTTTGCAGGACAATAGCTGTGCATTTCACAGATCCTTTCCATGTGAGTACGCGTGTTGCAGACAAATGTAATGATGGTACTCTGCTTTTCCAGGTACTCATCCACACTCCATTGCTTTTCTTTCCCTTTTTGTAATATATCAAATGGTAGTTCTTTCGGATGCTACTTTTTTCCTTATCTGTTTAACTTACTACCTCCAGAAAATTTTGTGGTCAATCACCTTATAGAGGTGTGGAAACATTCTATATAGTTACAATGTAATTCTTATACCACAATGATTTATGTTCTTGCAACTTAAAGAGCTCATTTTCTTTTTCCCAATTACTGGGCACCACACTCTTAGCCAAGAATAATGTGCCTTCTACTTCATGGCTCCCATATTCTATATGTTCCCTAGGTCATGCTCCAGTCACAGGTCAAAGCTTCACTGGCCATCTATGATGCTTGGCTTGATCTACAAGATGGCTTTGCCCATGCTGGAAAAGGTGATGGGAGACCAGCTTCAGGCTTCTTTCCTCTATTAGTTTCCTCCAAATCAAAAGCTGGAATTTTGTTCAGTATATGCTTGACAGGCTCACCAGCCGAAGGTATGCTCGGCTTCCCTTTTTCTTTGGGTTATTTGCGTTCTTTCTTTGTGGTTTTAAAAAACCCTTCTGTGTAGAAAGAAGCTTGGTTTATGGATTATCTATTTGATGATAGATGTGGCTCAAGTCATGTTTAGTCTATTCAAGAACGGATTGTTTACCCCAGAAAATCTGGCATGTAACTGTGTACGAGTAGTTAGTCTAAACCATAAAAAGGTGAAGTTTGTGTTGAATTGGACTGTGTTTAAGTACCAATTGGCTACAAGGTATACAATGAACGCCAAGCACTTTGTAACCTAGGGAGTTAAGGTGTGGTTCAAGAGCCATTAATTTTTCTGCAGAGAAGATTTGATAGTCTTAGAGCTTTTGCTTACAAAACATGGACTCTTATACGATTGATGAGAGGTTTTTTCTTTCAAGGGAATTCAAGCAGTCCTTAATATCTTCATTTATGTCTAACAAATATTTCTTTCTTCTACAGATGATGCTAAATTGAATCCAGTTAGTATATTGAATATCAAATATACAATATCTGGAAGTAGACATATTGGAGCTCACACCCCTTTATCCGGAGAACCTTCTGGACCTGATAATGATAAGGCAGAGCATTTGACGTTTAGGACTGAAATCGTATTGCAGAGACCAGTGCTGGACCCTTGCCTTGCTGTTGGTTTTCTTCCTCTCCCTCCGAATGGCCTCAGGGTTGGGCAGCTCGTGACTATGAACTGGCGAGTTGAAAGGTTGAAGGCTTTAGACGAGAAAGTGGAATCTGGTAACACTGTATGTCATCTCACTTAAAATGATTAAATTGCTTGACCAGTACCTATATCTGGACCGTTTTCCAGGTTTCTTTATGGATCCGAGTGAAATGTAATCAGTAAATAAGGAAAAAATTTGTAGTCATGAATGCTTAGTCGTATTATTCTCTCATCATCTTCAAACTCATTATATATATTCATTATTTTTTAGTCCAAGTCTAATATAGCAACACGGACCTAGGTCCACAATGCAAAGTTTGCTTCGAAAGAGACCGTTCAAAATTCAATAGCATTGAGTAGTCGGTCTACAACATGTGAATGCCATATTAAAGAGTAGTCATTTGCTATTTCTCACAAACTGTATGAAAGTGTAATTACTTACTATTTGCACATAAGCTGGGGAATGGAAATCATTAGTTCCTCTTTTTTGCTTTTCTATTTGACAGGATGATGTGTTATATGAAGTTAATGTTAATCCTGAAAACTGGATGGTTGCTGGAAGAAAAAGAGGATATGTGTCACTCTCCACCCAACAAGGTAATGTTCTGTTATCCTTATCATCTTTCCTCTTCCAAATTATTTTAATGGATGTTACAAAAATTGTTGGTATCATTAACAGGTTCGAGGATTGTGATCTCGATATTTTGCCTCCCTCTGGTTGCTGGTTATGTCAGTCCACCTCAGCTGAGTCTACCAAATGTTGATGAGGCAAATATAAGTTGCAACCCACCTGGGCCCTATTTGGTCTGCGTCTTGCCTTCGGCCCTAAGCTCCTCGTATTGTGTGCCGGCATAACGCCTGGTCCGTATATGTGTTGTAGATGTATTCGTGAGTTAGTTTTTTTTCGAATGTTTTGACTGTGATGTTGATGATTTTGTTTTTAGATCTTCAATTTTGTAGGATTTTACATTACTGTTCTCTATATTTATTTTTCCAAAAGCCTCCATTTTATTGCTGAGGATAGTTTGTGTATTGTTTGTGGGTTTTGTGTATAGTAAGTTGAGTTTGGGTATTTTACAATTTGTGATGGACACATTGGTCAAAAGCTGAAATGACAAATATTGTTTTCTTTTCCGTTGAGGATTATTTTAGGATTAAATGGATGAAAAAGATTACTTATGGAAGTCTTCAAATTCCTTATCCCCTATATATAATTTCAGAATATTTGGCAAAAAATAATATTTTTTATTAAAAAATAATTAGAATTGGATCTCATTTTATGTCTATATTATTCACACTAAATCAATGATTGTTTTTTTCCTTCTTTACTTCTACAACTAGTACAAATTTTGTGTTATGCAGTAAGAGATGTTCATTAAATAATAAATATATTTAATTATTATATATTTAAATATGTAAGTGAATAATATATGTAATTATAAAATTATATTTATTTTCATTAACTAAAAAGATTTATTTTTCCATCAACTATCCAAATAAAAAATTTACGTAGTTGAATAATTTATTAAACTATAAATATTAAATATTAGACTGTTTAATTCACGTTCAAGTTAATATTGACTTGTAAGTTATGAATAATTACTTATTTGACTTTTAAATTTGGAACTCAAATTTATACTACACAATAAATTCTCTTATTTATATATATATATATATATATATATATATAT